TTGAAAAAATAAAACATTAATAAGTTATTTTTCAGCTCATTTTCTATAACATAACCAAATACTAGATAATGTTTTTTAATTTATTTTTTATTAAACTATCAAATATTAAAAAATAATTTATTTTTTTAAAATTTACTTAAAAAAAATTATTTTATAGTAAACAAACATAGTCTAGACCAGTAAATAATTTATTTTCTCGAAATTTACTTTTAAAAAAAATATTTTCTAGTAAACAAATATAGTCTACACCAGCTTTTGATGCAAGGACAGAATGGATTTAGAATCTTGAGTTTCCTTTTGCTTTTCTTCAATGCCAAATGATCGCTTAAAATAAAATAAAACAAAGATGGATCGAAGTGATTATTTGCTTAAATTGTAATTATTCTCTTTCATACATGGGACTTAGACTTGGTTTGTATCAGTGAAAAACATTTTTTATAACATGGAAAGCAACAATTTAATGCATTTAAAAAAAATGAAATGGAGTTTTAACAGCAAACTCAAATATATTTTTTTAGTGTTTATTTGTATATATAGTGCAAAGTATTTTTTAGTTGAAAAGATATTAAAATTATATATTTTTATATTTTTTGAATATCAGCATTTAATAAAATCATTAAAAAAATACTTAAAAAGCATTGATTTAATATCTTTTAAAGTAAAAAATAAATAAAATAAAAATATAACAGGTGATTGCTAGATGCTCTCATTCCATGTATGCATAATATTATACAAACTATAATTATCCATGCTTGCCTTCCTTTCAATACACAACAATCTATTTATCCATCTTATGTGATAGATAAAATTAAAATTTTTTATTAAGATTACGATGTGATTTTGACCATTGAATTTGCATCTAATAAGTTCTATTAAGTATTTATAAAGATACCCTTTTTTAGTATATAGTTGCGATGAGAATTTTTTTTTTCAAATATGTAACAATGACCATATGATACAAAGAATGAAAATAGCTTGGACATTACTCATATACTTAGCTGGCACAATCCTTATATATTATAAATATTATATTTAATTAATGTTTCATTACTGAAAAGATAAATATAGATAAAAAAAGATAAATATAGAAGACATAGAATGTATTTCTAAAATAATTCCACAATGATTTTTTTATCATTTTAAAACAATATATATATTTTATTTTCTAAGATAGTTGATATATATATCAACTATCTTAGAAAATAAAATAAAATAAAATAATGCTCCACGTATAATTAAGTAAAACACCTCAGCAGGTGTACACATGGCAAGACAACTATCGAAACCATTCTCGATCTCTAGAAAGAATGTTCTTCCGTCTTTACTTGATCTCCAAGGGATGGCCTGACCTTGGCTTGTATAGAGATTAGCAAGATTCCCTTCTGTTCACAATCACAGGGGATTATTGTTATTATTAAGGGGAAGACAGCTGTCCGTTAAAAAAATCAAGGCTGTTAATTAATCATTTATTTATCAACGAACGCGTCTTCGCATCGCCGCGCGCAGACAACCCAGCTGCTAAAGCTAGCAAGTTGCGTTCCATGGCTCACTGTCCAACGAGAGATCACCACGTGTCTCCTATTTGCATCCCAAGAAGGGAGTCCAGGGCAAAAGCCCGCTTTCTCGTGTACTCATCGGCTCCCTTCGCTTTTGCATTTAAAAACGCGTTTTTTAAATTTATTGATTTTTTAAATTTAAATTTGGATATATTAATATTAAAAATAATTTTTTTAAATAAAAAATATTATTTTAATATATTTTAAAAAACCCTTTAAAAAACCACTTAACACAATTTCAAATGCTATTATAAAATAATATTTAAGATTGTAATAACTATTACAATTTAAAATTCTTTGTTAAAATAAAAATTTTTATTTTTAAAATATTATTCAATACATTGAAAAAATATAAAAAAAATATTTTAAATTTAAAAAAACACGATTTTAATGGCATTTTAAAGAAGACCCTAAAAATCTCTCTCCATCCATTTCAATGCCACCTGTAAAGTCTCCGAAAGGAAAATCAATGATTCACCTGAACAAACCAAAACCAACGGATCATTTCTTTGTTGTAAATGGGGAATGTTTCTAAAATTATCTCTTAATTTGAGATGAAAAAACCTTAAATGTGAAATAAATTCTATATAAATTCTTCAGATGTGTTGGATTAATATTACCCATGAATGATAAAGATTTAGTAAATGTTTATAAAGGCAGTAAATAATATTTTTTAATTAAAAATAAATTAAAATAATTTTTTTTAAAATTCTTGATATTGGCAGATCAAATTCATAAAAGATATCAATTAATGCCTTGCAAAAGCATTAAAATAGTATATAAATGTGCTGTATCAACTAATCAATTACAACATAAAAAAACAGATTGGAAGCTAGATTATAAAATTAATTTCTTCACGTAAATGGATCTGAAAATATCAACTAAATCATAAAAAATGCGGGGATTATTTATCATAATTACTTATTTATCACCCATGCATCTCCTCTTGCACTGACATTCAGGCAGCACAAATTTCATGCACAGTCGACGGATTTATCACGCTGGACTCCTTCATTTCTTGTCGTTGTAGTTTACGGGTAATTTATTCCTTGGAATTTTCCGGCAGCCAAATTAAGATAAAATACATTTAAAGGGTATATGACCCTTCAATTCCATTTTTTACACTTTATTCTCCATTAGTTTTTCTTTTCTTTTTTTACAACTTAATTAACAATCCATTCTACAAAAGATGATTCTTGATAATTAATATTCATTATATATATATATATATATATATATATGTGTGTGTGTGTATAAAATTCACTACCTTTTAAAAATTTTAAAGCACCTAAACCCACTTCAAACCATTAAAAATTCTTTAATTTCAAGCTCAATTAATATTAAATAAGATCTTATGTATATTTGATTTTAAGAAAATTAACTTGAGATTGATTTAAGTCTGATGAGTAAAATCAATTATCAACTCAAATAATTTAGTTAAAATTCAATATAATTTTTTAAAAATAAATTAAAATACTATTATTTTGCTTTTTTTATATAAAATTGAAATAATTTTTTTTGTTTTAACTGGATTAATAGCTCAAGTCATTGCCTGGGTTGAGTTAATAACTTTGGCTGTAATTTGTTATCATCAATGAAGGCTGGTAATTGCTGGCTGTAAAAACGGATCAAAGATGTTGGGAAAACTAATTATGAAGAAAAATATGATTAATTACTAAGCAAAATTTGGCTGTAATTTGCTTTAAAGAAGAAAACCTTTTCTTATACTTCACGAATTGCCTCATCTCTGCAAATGTTTCACACCTCCCGAAGTACTTACTACAAGAACAGCACCCAAGACACCAAAAAACCAGGAAAAGAACCAGAAAAAAAGAAAAAATTAAACACTCTCCTTTCATCTCC